GGCGACGGCTTGAGCGAAGCGTGGCGCAGGACGACCCCGCGTCGGTCGCCGCGGCGGACGCACTGTGTGTCGAGGTCTTTGACCGCGGCGTGAAAGGGCTGTATCGCATCCCAGAGGTCGTCGTGGGCGAAGTGGGGTACGAGATGCAGCCTCTGGACGACGTCTCGGTGTATCTGGCTCGGCCGGTCTACGTGTCGGAGTTGAAAGAGCTCTTCGCGCTCGTGCCCGAGGACTGGGAGCCGGTGCTGCAAAGGTCGGCGGTGGGGGAGAGTGAGCTGTGGCTCGGTGGCGCTGACGGGAACCTGAAGGCTCCGCCACTGCCGTGGCGCCTGTGGCTGAGGACATTGCCGTGGTCGACAATAATCTATGGAGCCGTCGGTACTCTCATCATAGGCTCCACGATCTGGGCGGGGAACGAATATCGTAAGAGCGCAGCGCAGCGGAGAGCATATCTTGAGTACAAAAAACCCTCGTCGCTGCCCCCTAACTGCTGGGAAATGGGTCCGGCGACCGCCCTCGGTGTGAACCCGCTCTGGAAGGTGGGAGAGTCCTTGCCGACGGAACCCTGCGACAGCGGCGTCCTGTACTGCCAAAAGATGTCCTTCTTCTGGAACTGTCACCAGTTCGGAAGCCCCTGGCCCGATCCCTTCCTAGGCGCCTGGCACTCTGCCACTCGGTCGCGCCCGCTCCCATTCGATAAGTGCGCCGTCTTCTGTCGAACTCCCGACGAAGTAAACAGCGCTCTCGGCAGAAGGCTTCTCAAACATTTCCCCCTCCCGGACCAGTCGAGCATATCGCCCGAGGAGCAAGTCCAACGAGTCGTCGCGTCACTCATTCGCAACCCCAAGTGCTCAGGCACAGGCGTCTCGTGGCGGGAAATCAACAACCTACACGACTGCCACTGCGACGTTGCCCACGTTACCTGCGAGGTGGTGGTAAATAGCGACCAGACAACGCATAATGTCACTCTCACCGACTTTGGTGAACCCCTGCCCACGGTATCTGGTTCCTTCGCCGAATACCCGGAACAGGAATACAGCGTCAACAACTGCTCTCACGAATGCTACAACCGAAGCACTGCTTAAGTACGACTTAGAGTTGGTGCTCCAGGAACCGACCACCCCACGACTTGGAGTTGGGACCACCCAACCAACGAGAATTCACCCGAACTGCACTTAGACGCAAGTGCATGCTGTATGGGTGAAGATCAAATCGCACCGTGGAGGTGAAGATCAAATCGCACCGTGGAGGTGAAGATCAAATCGCACCGTGGAACAAATTGTGAGTTCGGATGATCGGCTTGACTACATTCGTGCAGGTAAATCACGGCCAATCATGAAATCACGGCCGATCATGAAATCACGGCCGATCATGAAATCACGGCCGATCATGAATGCAGATAAACCATGGCGGATGGGTGAATTAAAAACATGGCTAGCTCTTACTGGTGGCTGTACTCGTACTCTTGGTCGCACTGGTGGATGATCTGCTGGATTTGTGCTTCTTCGGACGCCGTGGTCCGCCTTTAAGTGGTTTAAGTAGTTTCGAGCTGGTGGTTGCACTCGTGGTTGTACCGATACTTGTGCTCTTGGTCGTACTTGTGCTCTTGGTCGTACTTGGGCTCTTGATCGTACTTGTGCTCTTGATCGTACTTGTGCTCTTGATCGTACTTGTGCTTTTGATCGTACTTGTGCTCTTGGTCGTACTTGCGCTCTTGGTCGTACTTGGGCTCTTGGTCGTACTTGAGGGCGAACTCTTAAACGAACTATTGGACTTGATGCGCGTGATTGCAGTAGTACTGGTGGCTGCACTAGTACTCGTACTCGTAGTCATGTTTGATGAGACATTGGAGTGACCGCTAGCGTGCTGCCGTGCCATGGTTTGCCTGTCGTGCTCCCCTGTCATAACGTCTTTATTCAGATTGGAGCATTCGTACTCGCAATCGTGGGTCTCGTAGTCCTTCTCCGGGTAGTCGCCAAAGGAGGCCGACACCTTGGTGAGGGGCACTTCCAGATCGGTGACTGTTGCTTTGAACTCATCGCCAGATCTCTTAACCTTAACCACACACGTTACATTCGCCACGTCGCACACGCAGTCGGAGTTGATGAAGGCATTAAGCTCTTCCCTCGAGGCGGCCAAACCTGAGCAGCTGTTGTTTACTATGAGTGCTGCGATGAGTTGCTGAGCTTGCTCCATGGGTGACCTGGCGAGCATGGTGGGGGGGAGCGTCAGATTCGTCGCTGGGTCTTGGAAGGGAAAGCGGGCGGTGAGTCGTTTGGCGAGAGAGCTGTTTACTTCTTCGGAGGTGTGGCAGAATACGGCACATTTGTCGAACGCGTGCTTTCCGGTAATGTTCCAAACTCGCGGGAAAGAGTCGGGCCAGGGGCTGCCGAAGGCATCACAGTGCGTAGTGAGCGAGTTGTTGCCGCAGACGAGTGTGCCACTGCCGCAGGGTGCCAGCGGCGTAGGGGCTCCCGGCGTCCAGGAGTTAGTCAGGTGGTCCGTGTAAATGAGGGAGACCTTCGGGTCGTCCAGGGCGGGGCAATTACTCCTGGTGCTGGACGCCAGGAAGGCCGCCATCCTAGACTTATGCGATGACCATAGCTGGTACCCGACCAGGCCACAGATTCCAACCAACGAGAGCACGCCGACGTACCCGCAGACTTCTGGCATGTGACGGGATCGCCGCATAGCCTCCAGCCGCCCCACCTCACGGTCCCCGTTGCCTTTCACCGCCGACCTTTGCAGCACCGGCAGCCAGTCCTTAGGCACCTTGGCCGAGACCTCCTTCAACTCCGACACGTCCACCGGCCGAGTTAGGGTCACCGAGACGTCGTCGGCGCCGTTAAGACGCTGCATCTCGTACCCCATCTCGTACCCCATCTCGTACCCCATTGCCGCGTTTTCCCCCCCCGCGAGAATGCGGTACAGCTCGCCCACGTCGTTGTGAAAGACCTCGGCACATAACGCGTCCACCTCGTATGTCCCCTGTGGCGTGCTGTGCGCCAAGCGGCGCCGCAGCGCGCCAAGCAGGGCCGCCTCCGCACGTTGGTCGTTCGGCGGCCCCTCCTTCGGACGCCACACCATCATGCGGTCCCAGTGATGGAACCAGTCGTAGTTCTCGCCCTCCACCACTACCGTCTGTAACGGCGTCCGCTCGCTCGCAGCCCATCCTATCTCAAACGCCGTGCTTGGCGCCAACACCAAAGCTGTCACATCTCCGCCGCCCGCGCGTATCGTCACTACCTGAGCCACACAACGATCCAATTCCGTTCGACTACCATCCGGAAGCATCAGCACCGACAACAATCCACTCCCCGACACACCACTCGCTTCACTCTTCAGCGTACGCATTTCGACGTCCCCAAAAAACTGGTGTAAAAATCACGCCCGGCCGCCACAGGAGGAGGCCACCGCCACGGGACTGACTGGCCAGAGCGATCAGAGAGGCCGAACAAGTTTCTGGCGCGATCGCAGTCCTGGCAAAATAAGCTCGTCCTGATGTAACCACGAATAGCGCCCGAGGTACACTGAGCCATACGAAGCATAATTGTACGAATTATTCATTCGCACGACTTACCACCGCGACGTGGAGGGCCGGTGGGTTCAAGGATGAGGTGAAGTACCTCGGGCACGTCGTCGGCCAGACGGACGGGCGGGCATAAAGGTTCAGGAGAAGAAGTCCCGAGGAATTGTCAACGCACAAGCAAGAAAAAAGCTTCATAGGGATGTGCGGCAATCTGAGACCCGGAGTTTTAGAACATACGGCGCCGCTATTCGACGTGCTGAAGAAAGACGAAACCTACGAGTGGCAGGACGTGACTAGAACGCCTACGGCCAGCTCCGACACGCCGTCAAAGCGTACGCCGTCAAAGCGTACGTCGAGGAGGGGAACCCTAACCTGCCGGGTCTCCATTACAACGGCCTATCCACCTCAGGGTAAAGAAGATCTACGCAAGCTGCGCACATGGCTGGCTGGCTGGTCATCGCATTCTGCGCGACCCTGAAGACACCACCGGTGCACCAGCAAGGACTACCCACAGGGACGTTGGGAGGGCCAGCCTGGCTCAACGTTCAGGACAAGATATCAAACGAACCCACTGACACTAACCCACTGACACTAACTGCAAATGCAAACCCAACTACCCGACATCACCGTCATTGACGCCAAACACAACACCGGCAATGCCTGCCCCAACCCGTGATGGACAACCCATATACAACCAGACGGAGACAGACGGGACACAGTCGACGTGGCCAGAGCATCCTGTCCATTTGAGCACAAAAGATCCACGTCCATTTCAGCCCAAAACATCCATCTCAATCTCCTCCCAGGACTTCAGGGTTACATTCGAACTAGTGGATGGACTCATCGTCGTAGTGGAGTTCATCGTCGTAGTGGAGTCCAAGTGTTTTCCGGTCGGTTTCACCACAGCCGACCTTTTCACCACCGTCCACCAGTCCTTGGGCATCAGCTGTAGCTCCTTCAACTCCGTCTTGTACACAGGCCGCGACATAACCATCAACATCTCATTCTCCTCTGGGTCATCCCCTTCTGGGTCATCCCCTTCTGGGTCATCCCCTTCTGGGTCATCCCCTTCTGGGTCATCCCCTTTTGGGTCATCCCCTTCTGAGTAGACCAGCTCCGGGTCGTTCCCCTCCAGGCCGACCTCATCCAGGGCCTTGTATTCGTGTTTAACGAATCGCAATCGAGCGCTTACGAGCGCCGCCTCCGCCCGCGGGTCATTCGCGGGCGCCCCCTTGGGCGACCACAGAATCATTCGGTGGTAGCGACGGAACCAGCCGGGACCCACGCCCGACAACCCGGCAACTGCCTTCGGGCCCAGGGCCAAGAACGTGGCCTCACCACCGCGGGCGTGGATCGTCACCACCCGCGCCACATAGTCGTCCATCATCGTCCGGCCGCCGTACAGACGCCGCACCATCAACAACAAATCGAAACGCCGTAAGCCACTTGCTCCGCTCTTCAACGTCCGCATCTTCGACGGTCCGAAAAATAATTAAGCCATTCCCACGGCCAACGATACCAGGCAATCGAACGGAAGCCTGGATCCGACTATCCAGTAGGTGACGTTGTATAGAAATACTGAACTGATTGTGGCTGTCGTCAACTGAACTGATTGTGACCCGAGGGCTGAACGGGGCGTCAAGATGTGGTTGGTTCACGCCATACAAAAACAATGAAGAGCTCTGCCGATGGCGAGCGACGGGTCCCGGTGGCACACCCCGACGGTTCACTTTCTCAAATTGGGGGCTGCAACAGAGAACAGGTCCCGGAGAGAGCTGAAGTTGCCCCCTGTGTTCCGTTTTGCGCCGCTGGTCCGAACCAGAACGCGCGAACTAGAGGGTGTGTGGCAGGCAGTGAACTGAAGGTGGCAGCCGGCTGGTTTGTGGTTAAAACGGGACTGGAACTCAGACCTTCCACGGACAGTGGTTCTTAGGAGAGCCGCGGCACGGCCCCTCCCTCACTTTTTGTTGAGGCAGCTTGGTTACTATCATTGTCTCTAACCTGGTTAAGTGCGTGGCGATAGTGTGCTCCTTTAGTAATCTTAAGACCGGTCTTAAACGGTGCAAATGGTGACCCATTTCGTATGGCGAGTCGGTGGTCTTCGAGTTTATGGCTGAGTAGGGACATACGCCCATAGTGACAACGTTAACCAAAACGAGTACATCGTCACGGGTAAGGTCATTGGCACTCTTCTGTTCGGTACATCGCCACGGGTAAGGTCATTGGCACTCTTCTGTTCAGTACATCGTCACGGGTAAGGTCATTGGCACTCTTCTGTTCGGTACATCGTCACGGGTAAGGTCATTGGCACTCTTCTGTT